TTATAAATATATATAAATATAAAAATTGACATTAATTTCAGAGTTATTATTATTTAGATAAATTTAATTAAAAATTAAATTAAATACCAATATTTATTTTTTCAAAGCTTTTAAGCCCACGACTCAAGACAAAAAAGGCTTTTTAAAGGAAACTGTAATTCCCCCAAAACGCTAATTGAAACGCGGTTTCTTAGTAGTCTCAATTAAACTCAATCATTAGAACCGGCCTTTGCACCTAATAATTCTTTCCAAGCTTTTGTGTTTAGAATTAATTGATTCAACTACTTAAAAATTTCACTTTTCCCATAATTTTTCATGTTAAATTTTAAAAAAAATTAAATTCAATCATTCTATTTTCATAGTAATATTCACAGAAAAACACTGAAGGGGTTTCATCAAAATTTCCCCTTCCAGGTTCTTGATCCATTATTTTGTATGTTCCATGGAGAACCTAACTACGGTTGCTATGGAGGAGGAGGAGAAGGAGAACGGTGGCGCTGTCGCCACTTCTCTCAATTACAATGCTTCGCCTCTTCTTTTCCCCGGCGCAAAAGAATCAAGCAACATTGCTACAATGGCAGCATCGCTAGTTCTTCCTCCGGCAACGCTTTCACAAGAACCCTGCATGATAATCTTTTCACCAGTCATATACAAGAACCAAAGTTTCATATTTCTCCAAGCTATCCAGGGTGTTCCTTTCCTGGTGCTGTTATTAAATTTTTCTTTCTTTTTAATTACGGTGTATTGTTGATTCTTGAATTTCATATGCAGTATATTAATGTGACGATCTTGATTGTTCTTTGCAGTGAATTCCCCGAATTCAACTAACCAGTTTATGCCTCTGCCTTCTGTGAATTGTATAAATGGATTTGACATTGCAGAACCAATGTTTGTAAATCCTGTTTCTAATTCATTGAATTATGGCTTTAGACCTTCCTGGGAATGTGTTGATCGTGTTCAATTATCGACAAGGCTACATGTAAAGTTAGTTCATATTATGGTCCAAAGATCCAATTTTTACAGTTACATATAGATTTTTAAAGAGGTTATTGATTTCATTTTTCCTCTGATGTCTCATCAACATGGACATGCTTTGTTTGAGAGGTTGGTTCAGTTCTGTGCCAAAGATTATCAGCTGAAACAGATTGCAGGAAGAGCAATTTCATAAGTTCTAAGACATACAACATTGAATGGATTCTGGTATAATATTGTTTCCCTTTATTTTGGTCATTAGTTTTACTTTGGAACTTTTATTAATCACATTGATTATATTTTTCAGTCTAGAGTCAATTGGAAAGCTCATAAAGGCACTTGGGGATTCTACTTTATTGAGGATGTCATGAAAAGTTTTTCTAGCAGCTTCTTTAGGATAAGTTCAACAGGATCACATCTAATATTGAAATCCATAGACCTCCTGAGTTCTAGTAAGAATGAGTTAAATTTATTAATTTTCTTCATAGTTCACCCTCTAAAACTTGTGACATTGTTGCTGTTTACTAACTAGTTACATATCTCATTTGTTGGCATGCAGTTACTATATGAAGCAGCTGTAAAGAGTGCATTAGACCTTGTCATTCATGAGGAAGGATGCATAAACTTTAAGAACTTCATAATTTCCAGCAGAGGTCAACTCCTACAACTAATCACAGAAAGTTCTGTCTTCCTCTCTCAAGATCCTTTCGGGTAGATCATCATTATCATCACTAGTTAATTTTCATCGCTTTTGTTTCACTATGCATTGTTGATTGATTTCTTGTAGGAACTTTGCGGTACAACATGTCCTGGAACTAGAAATCCCCACCTTCACTAAAGAAATTTGCTCAGCTGAAAGGCCACTTTGTGAAGATTTCAATGCAGAAAGCTGGGAGCCATGTGGTGGAGAAATGCTTGATGTCTCGAGGGATGGAACTTGTGGTTCAAGATTTCATTGATAGCAACCAGCTTCAGCATGTTATTAAGGATCAATATGGCAACCATGTTATTCAAACAGCACTAAAAGTCACAATGGTACATTTTTTACCTGATATTCCTTATAGCAAGCAAGGTTATGCACGTTGGTGAAGGAGCCATACAACAATGTGGTGCATGTTGGTGAAAACGTGAGGATTTTACCTGAAATTCCCTATAGCCAACAATGTTATCTACATTGGTAAAGGAGCCATGCAGCAATGTGTTACACGTTGGTCAAAGCATGAGGATTTGTAACTTGTATTTGACGTAGATGATTTGCAACTTTTTAAATTATAATATAATTAACATTTTAGCTTACGTTGATGAATGTGGGGGAAATTTTGAATTTTTTCATAAGTTATTTTAATAAGATAGCATGGTAATGTATGTCGGTGATAATGGTAACATTTTAGCGTACATGTTTTGATTATCTTAATAGTTCTTTTTCTTTTTTTTTTTTTTTATCCTGCAATTTTAACTATCTTGATTTAGGTGCATTAAATTCCTAATATTTGTCAAAGTTACATCTGCTATAAAAGTAGTCAAATTATCCCCATTTCCTCATATTCCCCCATGTTAAAAAAAAAAAAATTCTCTTTTCCTTTTTTTTTAAATTTTGTCGTTTCTTAATTCTTACTTCAATAAGGTAGCGAGCACTATTATTTTATTATCTATAATGTTATTTTATTTTATAATTATGTTTTCTATATTTTGTGCCCTAATTTTTTATTTAATCAAATATATTTAAATTTTTTTATCAACCAAATATATTTAAAATAGTTTTAAAAACTAATTAATCTGACCAAATCACACTAAACAAATTTAAATTGAATTGGTTTAATTATAATATAATAGTAGATTGAATTACTTTGAAAATTTTACTAATTAATTAAATTAGTTTGGTTTTAAAAATGCTAAAATCTAATTGATTCACACTACTACTAAAAGGGTTGTGGATATTATCACTTAGGATTTTGTAAGGCCACTAATTTCAACTACTTCCTTGGTCTAAAAGTAACTATCATTTTTTCTATTTTGAATTTATCCCATATTAATTGTTAGCTGTTTAATTTTTAAGATAGACAATTTTTTTTCTACCTTAACCATATAATTATCAATTTATTTTAATTAATTATTCAATAACAAACAAAAAGTCTCTCTTTATTTTTAAAGAATATTATAGATAAATACAAATATTAATACTTAAATCCTTAATTTGAAAAAAAAAAGCAGTTATTTTAAAAAAAAGTATAATTTTATTAATTTATAGTTTTTAAACAAAAAATGGTTACTATATTTAGGAATGTATGTCTATAAATTGATTTTGATATATTATATAAAAAATATTATTTATTTTATCGTTATCAATTATTTTTATTAATTAATTTAAAATAAAATTTTAATAAATTTAATACTAACTATTGCCATAATTATAATCAGCTAATAGTCACTTTGCATGTTTGAAAAAAAAATAAAAAAAAATAAAAAGAAAAGAAAAATGGAAAAAGGGGAAGAGAGTGAGTGAGAGAGAGAGAGAGAAAAACGGAGAAGAGAAAGTGGGGTACGGCTGAACTTGTACAGCTGGGCATTATCTCCACCAAAATCAAACTTATATACAAAGCGTAGCGATTGTTTCGTCTTTTTTTTTTTAAATTAAAAAAATATATCATATTTATATTTTAAAAATAAAATATTTTAATTTTTTAAAATAAATATTTATTAAAATGATATAATTTTAAAATAATAATTTTTTTATTTTTAAAAAATAATTACAATATAAATTAAATAAAAAAACTTATTTGAATAATAATTAATTAACAATAAATATAAAATTATTAATAATATATTAATTTGAGTAAAAAAATTTATTTTTTAAAATAAAATTTTAAATTTAGATATCATAAATAAAAAAATAGATGTTTAGTTACTACGGAACTTAATTTTAAATATATTATAATTGTATATTTTTACCAATGATTTGTTAGTTCGAGTGAAAATAACTCAATTTCACTTAAATAATGTTTTGAGTTTGAGTCTTATAAATAAAGAATGTTCCTTTTAATAAGATTCGATCCAAGTTGATTTTGAATTAATTAAAATATAATATAATTATCATATGCTAAGAGGTTAATTAAAAAAGAAGAAGCATATTTTTAAAAGAAAATTCAGAATGTGATTACACATCACCGGCTCACTTAATAAAGCACATTTTTTCACTAATTTATAGAAAGTACTCTGCATCTCCCATCACGGATATATAAAAAAAATAAAATCTAAAATCTCGCCAAATAATTTGGTTATTGGGCTGATCATGTGTCTTCCAATAGGCTGTTTTTTTTTATTCAATCGAGAATTAACTCTTTAATATTATAAGAATTTAAACCTCATTCTTAATTTTAAATTAAGATTTTTAATTTACTACTAGTATTCTACTTTAGGTACTATTATCTTTTCTTTTTCTTATGTTTTTCGGATGAAAACTCTAGTTACTGTTACCATTAAACATATTATAGAGAAATAAAAAAAAAAAAATGAGGCTGAACATGTTTTATTTTGGAAAATAAGAATTTCCATTAATGGAGTCAACAAAAAAAAAAAATCAGGTCATACTTTAGTTATACGTACAGTAGAAAAAAGGGCTTTATTTTACCCAGAAAAGAAGGTAGCTTTCGTCATGGGACAGCTAAAGTTGACACCTTTAAGAAGATCTACGGTGGGCAAGGGGCATTTCTGACATTCAAGAGGCTCCCGGGGGCATTTGTCGGCAAGTTGTGGTATAAATGTTTTGATTCCGTGGAGGAAGACCCATCAATTTTGGAGACGAGGTGGAGCAATCTCTGGTTGAAGAAGAGTCCCTATTTCTGAAGCAAGACGCGTCTTAGCTGATTGCTGACTGAGGTATGCAAACCACAAGTAACTACTTAGGCAATTCATTCCTTAATCATTAGGAGTTATAATGATATATGGGTTTTGTTTTGTTTGAGTGAATGTTCTGTTTTGTTTTCTGGTGATGAAATGTTGTTTTGTGCATCATGGAATTGGGGTATTATTAGGAAATGTCGAGAAAATTTCATTCCACTAATCCCATATGGGAAACTGACATTTTCTCCCAGGCATAGAACTGCGGTTTTCCTTTCTTGGGGTAAAGGTAAGAGTTTTTCCCATTTTTGTGTTTATTTTTGATGAGTGGGGGATAAGCCAATAAGGGTCAGTTCTGAATATGAGAATTGTTGGTATTTCTATTATCAAGGAACAAACTTTATTGAAACGGGGTTAACACCAGAGCTAATCTTTTAGTTTTGTTGTAGTGATCCCTTGATTGGTTCTGAATGGTTTTCTATCTGGTCTCTATTCTCTGAATTAAATGAATATGAATCCTGGTGGCTGACTTTTCTTCATTTTCTCTCTCTAGAATGTGTAACCTATGCTTTGTAGTCATTTTGGCTATGAAATTCAATTTTGGTTAGTTGTTTACCTTTGCGTCTCTAATATGGTCGGTTCATTGGTGGTTTACCTTTTTGGCTTTAATATGCCTACTTGCTTTTATGGTTTCCATTGATATTTGTATGCTTTAAGCCATGTTGAAACTCATGTCATTTTGGTGTAAAAATTTGGTAGGGAGAGTTGTGCTTGACGCTAGTCGTGGTTGCAAAGTAATCCAGTTGATCTAAAGTCACTTTTTTGTGTTCCGTTAATTAACTTTATTCAATAGAAAGTATTTAAGAAGAAAGCTTTCCTCTTGATTGGTTGCTTCATGTTCTAATCAGGAAGCTTGTTGCTTATTTCGCTTCATCTCTGTATTTCTTCTCCTGAATTATTTGTATAACGTATGTTTCTGAAACATCTAAATGATGGAGAAGAGATAATATGAAATTGGGATTAAGGTTGCACAATTTCTCCAAAGTGAATAATCTACAGACCCCCTTTCTTGATTGACTAGCTTTTTGGTCAAACATTTTATGACTTCCTGTGTTTTTCAAGTAAACATAAGTAGCCACTGCTACAAGGTCCCCATATAAGTAATTTATGTAAATTTCCTTCCATTCTGACTGAAATTTGAGTCTTCAAATGGTTTTCTAATGGTAGTTCATTAAAATATAGAAACAGCGGCGGATATACTGGACATGCAGATATCATAAGTACCTTCTTTCTGATTAATGAAAAGTCCCTACATTTAGTTTTCTGTAATCTCTGCTTCTTTTCTTCTACTGATTTTTTTTTTGTTTAATCTTTTTCAGTACTCAAAGATGGATTTATGTTAACTGTTTTAATATAAACTCTTTTGGCAGATTTTGGGAAATCTTCAATAATTCTATGGCAGAATTGAAGAAATTAGTGGTCAACATTGCTGCTGAAGAAGAAATCACTTATCTGTGTATGGAAGCCTTTTGAGTATGTACCAACTCAACTGTTGCTAGTAGATCATAGGAGGTGATTTGGCTTGTGCGAGTAACTGCTGCTTGTAGAGAGAGTGTGTTATTTTTCACTCGTGAGTTCTATTGACAGTAAAGTCTGTTGGTGGCAATTAGTTTTTTGGGGGGCAGGGTGTTCTTTGGGTTGATCTTAGATGCACACATCTCAGAAACATAAAACGTCAGCCAGTATCCACAGGTATCCCCAACCTGTTCAGGAAATTGAACCTTTTCGTGTCTCTCAAATCCAAATCTTAGATAACAATGCATCCTCGGATCTTGGGAGCCAAGGAGCAACTGTCTCATTTCAGACCAAGGATCAGTTTTTTACCCTGGAATCATCTACAACCACTGCTGGTTTTGCTTATGATTCCCCCTCTGCAGTAAGTATCACATCCAACAGAAACCCCTTTTCCCCACAAGGCTCTAATTCAGGTCTGTCTGATCCTCGTCACTCCCCTGAAAATGCCTATGGATCACCATTTAGTGGATCTTCTGTTGCCGATGATAACTATGAACTTAAGCAAAAACTGAGAGAGCTAGAAGTTTCACTTTTGGGGCCTGAGTCAGATATTATAGATACCTGCAACTGCTGCTTCACCAATGGTGCCACACATGCTGCTTCTGTGGCAAACTGGAACCAGAATGAATTGATGGAAATGATCCCTAAATTAGACTTGAAGAAAGTTCTTGTTGCTTGTGGCCAAGCGGTATCAGTAGATGAGATGTCAACAGCTGCAGGTTTCATGCACATCTTGGAGAAAATGGTTTCAGTCTCTGGGGAGCCAATCCAGCGGTTAGGTGCTTATGTGTTGGAGGGGCTCAGAGCAAAGTTGGAGTCCTCAGGGAGTAAAATCTACAAAGCGCTGAGGTGTGAAGAACCAACGAGCTCAGAACTGATGTCATACATGACTATCCTCTTCCAGATCTGTCCATACTGGAAGTTTGCATACATGTCCGCAAATGTTGTGATCAAGGAAGCGATGGAAAATGAACCAATAATTCACATAATTGATTTCCAGATAGCACAGGGCACCCAGTGGATGTTCCTCATGGCAGCTCTTGCAAAACGCCATGGTGGACCTCCGTTACTACGTGTAACTGGTATTGATGATTCCCAGTCAAAACATGCCCGTGGTGGGGGCCTTCATATCGTGGGGGAGAGACTAGCAAAATTTGCTCAGGATCGGAATGTGCCATTTGAGTTTCATGATGCTGCCATGTCTGGTTGTGAAGTTCAAGTAGAACATCTAAGGGTTCAACCTGGGGAGGCCATAGCTGTGAATTTTCCTTATGTATTGCATCACATGCCAGATGAGAGTGTCAACATCTGGAATCCCAGGGACAGGCTACTAAGGCTGGTCAAGAGTTTGTCACCCAAGGTTGTGACCCTTATTGAGCAAGAGTCCAACACCAACACATCCCCATTCTTTCACAGGTTTATCGAGACACTGGATTACTACACTGCGATGTTTGAATCAATAGACGTTGCTCGTCCAAGGGAAGACAAGGAGAGAATCAGCGCAGAGCAGCAGTGCGTGGCACGTGACATAGTCAACATGATAGCCTGTGAGGGGGCTGAGAGGGTGGAACGGCATGAACTTCTTGGAAAATGGAGGTCAAGGTTAACCATGGCTGGCTTTACTCAATGCCCATTGAGTTCCTCAGTGACTGACGTCGTTGTCAATCTCTTGAAAGACTTCCACACAAACTACAGAATCCAAGAAAAAGACGGGGCCCTCTATCTTCATTGGGTGAATAGAGCTATGGCTACCTGTTCTGCATGGAGGTGAAATTCTCATAGTGCTTGGCTCTGTGGTGTAAAATCTGTAAATTTTCCAAAAACACAGCTCTGCTCTCTTGACTAGCATGACTCTTGCGTTTTCAGAACCAGGAGATTAGCTTCTCTCAATCCGTTAGTGTAGTTTTAGACCAAGAACCATAAACTTCAATTTTCACTGTAAATTTCCACCACCTAATGAAAGAAGGAATCTTGATTTACACTTTAACTCAATTTTCTCTTCCCAATTAATTGCACTCTCTTAGCTAACTGTCCAACAAAAAGCTCATGAATCATTCCCTACATCCATTTTTCACATTTAATAAAAGGTAAAATTTCTTATTACATTCATAACACATGAACTGTAAGGTAAGGATGCAATCCTGCAATGTTAAGCACTAATTTTATCAACGATAAAAAAATGCAGGACACATGAATCCGCATTTATAAGTACCTATTTGCATAATAAAAAATAACTTTCTAAAAAATATACGTAGTTAGAAACTTTTTTTTTTTGTACTAAAAAATGTGTTTTTTTGGTAAAATTTCTTTCACTCAATAATTCTTTTTCTAATGTAAAATTAAAAAGTACTTGAAATACAAAGATATTATAAAAATAGAAACGTTTTATGCTGTTTGGATTGAAAAAAAAAGAGATTGTTACAGAAATAAGTGAAAATGAGGGAAAAAAACAAAGGAATATGAAACGACAAGGAAAATGATCGTTTCAGTCCCTTAACGGCCCAAATAAGGGAAAAGGTAAAAAAAAAAAATACAACAAAGAAAAGAATTAGACGCTGAAATCAAGCAATTAATCAGGACAGGCAAACAATCCCATTTTGGCAAATCGCTTCAAAGTTGGAATTCTGAATTCTGAATTCTGATTAGTACTTTTGACCCTGAATTCATAGTTTTTTCAGCAAATGTAAGTAAAATTTTGGATTTTCTTCTAAATCCCGTTCAAATTTCTCTAATTTAATCATTTTTTTTTAAATTTTTTTTTTCTCGGATCAATCTTTGTTTCATCTCTGTTAATCGGCATTTTTTTTGCATCTTTCTGATTTAGGGTTTGTGGATCATGAAACTGAATTTATATGATTGTGATTTTAGATAAGGAGGTGAATCTGTTGGATGTCTATGAACGATTGCTGTAAAGATGGAAGCGGTACCTAACAGATCGGAGTTGAGGAAGGAGCAGGAACGGGAACGGCGTCGATTGCGCGATAGGCAGAGAAGGCAGTCTATGAGTCTTGAGGAGAGGGAAAAACATCTCGCTAGACGCCGAAGAAACTATCAGCTCCGGAGACAGAGAGCTCAGACTGCTCTGTCGAATCCTCAAACTCAATTTTCACAAACAAGCATAGGTACCGGAGATGAAGATGGAATGCATGCTAGCAACCATCTTCAGCTGGAAACTTCGGTTTTGGATTTTAGATCCACCGAGTCCAACGATGTTGCTCTCGGTGGATCTGATGGGCAAGAGAGACTTATCGCTGACAGCAGAAAGGCCGAGAGTGAGTCTTCTGTATTGTTAATTTCCCATTTATTTAATCCAGTAGCAGTTTCTTCATCCCTGCATGACTTAGTGATATTATTCTATTTGAAAAAAAAAAAGAAAAAAGAAGGCTTTTTTACTTGTTCTTTGTGTGATATGAACTGATAGTTTTGGAAATTCCGGCTGATAAGTTGGCTATAATACCTGGAAAGCTACGTTTAAACCGGATAAAACAGCTTGCACGAGTGATACATGGTGGTAATTCAAGTAATGGAGTCGTGGCAGGAGTGGTGATGGATGGAAATGCAACTCCCAATTGTAAGTTGAGTAATAATATTTGCTCTTTATCTTAATCATGTGTTGCTTATTGAATTTAGCTGATTTACAGATACAATGTCTAGTCTGATTTATACAGTAATGTTAATTTCATTTATACTGCCCCATTTGAAGATTTACGTGTTATTTGTTAAACTTTTGTGCAGGTAAATCAGTAAAAGGGTTGCGATTAAACCGCATCAAACGTCTTGCTCGAGCAATAAATCCTGCTGGGACAGAGAACACTGCTGAAAGGCATCAAAGCGTAAGAGAAGGTATTAAAAGCAACTTATGTTTTTTGTTAGCGTTTTTTATACAAGGCCCATTATAATATGCTAAATTTTACACTACCTGACAATCATTGAGCCGTAGAGCGTAGATGATGGTTTTTCTCAAATAATAGTATTTGATGGATTTGTGACATTCTTGAATTAAAACCTGAAATTTTTTATTGATTGAGGGATTTTACTCTGGAGGATAATGAGTTCGTCGCATTGCCTTTTAGGGTGAACATCTCTGATGGGCTACCAAAGACAGGCAACAACGTTAGTCAGCCATAAACCATATACAAGGGTGAAAATTCACTTGTCTCCTCCCTGGAGTCTTCCAAACAAAAACATGTAAGTTAATCACACACAGCATTAATTTCTGCCTGTCTTGCCAATTAAAAAAAAAAAAAAATTCTGCCTGTCTTAATTTATTATCTTTTGTGTAGAGCTGAGTTCTGCTATTCAGGTGCATTTTAAATGGTGACATCAATACTTCTCATATCAGTCTGGTGACTCGTCATGTAAATTTATGTAATTATATGGTTGACAGAACATGTTTTATTCAGAAAAAGTCAAATAGTGTAGTAGACTTCCAGCTTATGTGCATGAAATTGCAGACTTCCAGCTCATGTGCATGAAAACATACAAATGGATGGATAATAGTTTAAACTAAAGTCATGCCAAAAGATAGAGGTATATGGATATGTTAGTTTGGACTGCTAGAAGGGAGATAATGTGTTTTGGATAACCTACGTACCTTAGGTTTGTGAGAAAAGAAAAAATGATTTCTTTAGCTACCATAGCGGTGACTTTGAGTAATTATGATTAATTAGCTAAGATGCTGCTGGCAACTAGACTGCGGATAAATTCTTACCAAGCAAAGTAGGATATCCGTTTCTGGTTTGCATTTTGAAGATGAATTTTCTGTTTTTGTAAAAACAAATGGCAGTTGATGACACAACTCTTTTCGCTGGATTAATAGTGTCGTTTTCAGATTTATAAGATTGCAAGTTGGAGAAAAAGGATGATTGCAACTGCAGGGGCACAGAAGCATTAATGCAAAAAAATTGCCAGGGAGGATTCATTAACGGTGATGGACATAACCATCCACTGGAATTTGATTTTTACCACTTTAGGAGGGTTGAAGAGAAATTGAACAAAACCAAACAAGCACACTTGATGTGTTGGTTCTTCCTAAATTTTATTTTATTTTCTTTTTCTAGCAATAAGATTTTGTATATTGATTTAAATTTCTTTATTTATTAACTGTTTGTCCATATCTCATTTTTCTCATTTTCATTTTATTAGTGCAACATAGCTTAATGAGAAGAAGCTATGTGGCTGGTACCATTTGAAAGAAGTAAAGCTTTCTTACATGGTTGAATTCAGTCCCTAAGCATTCGAGGCAACAATTCATGAGCCTTTTTGTCCCTTGGAGTGGCATTGTGAACGTTTTTACCATGTTTAAATCCTCGTCCACTACACCAAATATAAGGAAAAAAAAAAATAATGGAGTTTTTTTCTAAGCCTTTATATGGATAATGATATGTGAAAGACAATTATTCTTAGTACTTTTTTTATATAAAGTTTACATGTTATTAAATAAGTTGGTATTGAAAATGAAGAAATAAATAATTGAGATTTTATATAAATATACTGTATAAAACTTAGTGTGTAAATGACTTCGTATTTTTTTATGTTTTAATCTATATTACTATTGAGAAAAAAAATTAAAAACAAAAACACTGATAAGTGTAAGTGAATATTGAAGTTAAAGCAATAGCAATAGAGTTAAAGTAATAAAAAAATCATTATCTACTCTAAAAAAATAATAATAATTAATTTAGATAATTTTATGAGTAAAAAGACAATTATTTTAGTACAAAAGAGATATCAAGCAAACAATAATAATAAGAGTGTTAGGAATGCTCTGTATGTGGTGAAATGTTATGAAAATATTTTATAATTTTAAAATTCTAAAATATTTACTAGTCACTCATTAAATACCAATTATATTAAAATTTAAATTAATGTGTCACTTGGTTTAATCATAGAAAGGGTATTTACTCTCTCTTTTCTAACACAACTGTGATTTTTTGACTATTTTTTAAATTAAAAATATAAAGATAATATTTATATTTATTTATAATACCTTAAAAAAATGTACCCAAAAAAAAATACCTTAAAAAAAAAGATAAAGAAAACTTTTGTGATCATGATTAATTAAAATAAATAGATAATAATAGAATTAAAATAAAAAAATATTTATCTATTTTAAAAAATGAAAAAAATGATACTCTCTCTTTTTAG